TGTATCCCGGCAGTAAAGTTGCTTCACATAAGTTACACTGTGCTGCTCAATGAAATCCGAGCGGGAGAAGAATCCAATTTGTGCCCTGCACCAGTACACCATCCCAGTGTTGGCAGGTCTATAATTGTAGGGCTGTACAGCGCCTGGCACCAGTACACATCCCAGTGTTTGCAGCACTGGTCTAAGGCGACACAGCACCCGGCATGGCATTGACTCACTTGATTGGATTTCATTGAGCACTGCACTGCACTGTACATCAGCATTTTATTTTATTTTTTATTTATTTTTTCAAAAAGAGGAGCAAAAGTTTACAAGCTATCCGTTTTGTCCAACACTAACGGTTATAAGCAGAATACTGTTGAGTCAAAAATGTGCAACAATTAGCACAAAACTGTTGGTCCTCTTTTTGAATTTTAATCCTTGGCTCTCCATCCATTTAACTAGACCACCAGAAAAACAACCGGACAAGACACCTACGTGCGTGGCAGTGACAGGAACCGCATCAACCAGAAGAATGACAAGATCGGCAACGGCGGCGATGGCAGCGACTAAAGCACAGACAGAGGCAACGGCTAGGGTCCACTCGACTAGCCATGTGAAATCGGATGTGTCCACCGCACATGCTGATTGTTCTGATGTTAGTTCTGATAAGTATGAGTCGTCCATTGCTAGTCATTTGTTTGAGCATCCTGATTGTCGTGCTGTGTATTCGGATGATTGTTTTTCGATTGTGTCACGTGTACGCAGTGCTAGATTGCTGAATGTTTTGGAAGCTGTATACATCCACACAAGGAAACCCAACCTTTGCAAGCAGAAACAAATCAAATTCACACTTAGGCTGTTAGGTAGGTCGTCAAAACCTCGTTAGTTACATGTATGTCCAGTGGTTGTCTCTTGTTGTCGCACTACATGTCGCGCTTATTGAGTTTTCTCGCATTTGCACCTTTGTGTCATTATTGCAATTTTCGCTGTTTACTTTAGCTATCTTCTTTCTTTCTTTCTTTCTTTTTGCGCTGTTTTACCACCTTCTTACTGTATTTAATCCACTGTTCCTGTTCCTTTTCCCTTGCCTGTATTTCACCTGATGAGAAGGCTTGAAAGTATACTTGTGAAGACAAAAACTTTCAAGATGTTTGTAATGAGCCTGAAGTGTGTCCTTTTTATGAGTATTATTGCTCTCCATCCATATTTATTTTTTTATTTTACAAAGACCACTTTTAAAAATGCCAAACATGAGATGCAGCTAGGGGAAGCATGCACAACCTGAATCGTGGCAGTGGTGGTGAGGTCTAGGGAGCTCCGCCGACCTACTGTAAAAGCCATTATTCTAACGAGGCGCATATATAACGATTTCCCAAAATTGACCAGTTTACGTGCACCAAAGGTAACGATTCTCACTTATTCTCAACGCTCAAAAGGACAGTATATGATTTGTACCGATTTCTGTATAACGATTTCTATTATAACGACAGATTTCTCCTCGTTAACTCGTTAGAGTTAGCACTTCGTTATATATATGGCTTTTACAGTATTCTTCGCCGTACGGTCTGATCAGCATGCAGTGAAACTACAGTATAACGTACTTCGGACAAAACACACACACCAATATACATTTCCGTCAGAGACAAAAAATGTGACCCACAGTTGATGCAGGAAAGGATTGACTGGAGTTGGAGCAGACATGGCTGACTGACGTATAACCCATTGTTGCAGGGCGGATTCACTGGAGTTGGAACCAATATAGCTGAGGTCATGTGACCTATTGATGAAAGGATTGCCTGGAGTTGGAACTAATACGGTCAAGGTCATGTGACCCATTGCTGTAAGGATTCACTGGAGTTGGAACTATGCAATATTGCTTCCCCACCTGGTCATGTGACACCTGTGAGGCATCTACAATCCCTCGCGACACCACCTACTGACATACCTTGGATGAGACAGTTACTAGAAAGACAATGCAACGGCAATCACTATACGCACGGCACCACACACACACTGCACAGGTCACCACTGCAAGACCCACTTTGCTGCGAAATTCGGTTAGAGTATTATTTACACACATTGTTGTATTTGGTTCTTGTCACTGACCTTTTCAGCAGCGTCGGAGATGTAGTCAACCAAGTTAGACATGGTGGCTGGGTATTCCGACGATTTCGACGTCAAGTACTCCACATGATTAGCCGGCAAGCCGAGAGGATCACGCAATATTGAGTACAGACGCACTGGATCTTTCTCGGCCGACTCCCCCAGGTCCGACCTCTTCATCACCTTGTTCAGCGAGTAACCCACACCTGTGCACAGTTTAAAGACGGCAGTGTGTTAGTGAGTTAGTGTGTGTGTGTGTGTGTGTGTGTGTGTGTGTGTGTGTGTGTGTGTGTGTGTGTGTGTTAGTGTGTGTGTCTGTGTGTGTGTGTGTGTGTGTGTGTGTGCGTGCGTGTGTGTGTGTATGCGTTAGTGTTAGTGTTAGTATTAGCAACTTGTGCTGGGATTGATTACACCCGATGATTCAACGGCTTGCAAGGCTGACGAATTGACTGCCACTAATGTTAGCCTGGTCCACACCAAATGGCTGATTTAACATGGCAAGTTTGCAACACCATGACAACGATCAACACAGCATTGTCGGACAAGCACTGGCGATGCTCACCTGCGCAAACTGCACGACTCGTTGCCGGGTTGAAGTGCAGCACACGATCCTCAACGTCCAGGGTGTTCTTGGACGTGACAACCATCCAGTCTTGCATGGTGCCAGACACTTCGAAGCGGGAGTCATCGCTGGACGTGGATGTGCGCGATGGCGAAACTGCACACACATGACACACACACACACACGCACAAACACACACACACACCTTGACAAACAGCTGCCGTTAAACGGCTAAGCTGCTCTCACGAGGAGGGGAACAAAGGGGTAGTATCACGGCGTCGCGGCAGAACATCCGGTAGAACACACACACACACACAACCTGCAGAGTATTCAACACTGTCCGCTGGGTCGGTGCAGCGGCGCTGATCATGTCACTTGGCCAGTGACTAACTGGGGTCCCAGCTAGGGCCACACCGGTCGCATGCCGCAATACCCAGACCGCCAGCCCCGGGACCCAGACCCTGACTTAGTCTACGGAGGCTGGTAACCCCAGCTACCCTGGTCGGTAGTGTAGTATTATTCTCAATATGGACAAGGAGACATGGACGAGTAAACTAATGAGGAGCAAGAAATGCACAACCAGTAGGTAAGTCCCAAAACAAGAGAAGTCCCCGAGCCAGTGAAGCACATCAACGTTCTGGCCTACGGGAAACGGCCTGTGTGACGTACAGACAGCATGCAACGCATACAGTCATAAGTGTACAGTAGTGTACGCATAATAGAGTCCAGATATTACGACAGGTAGCCCCGACATAACAGACTCAGCAGTACTCTACCGGATTACCCAAGCGGCATGCTTGCCATGGCATGAGCCAGATCGGCCTACGACCCCGCCTGCTACATCGTCCAATACTGGCAATAGCCTGTGCACAGCCTATGGCCCTGGCCAGCACATGCACAGGGCTGTCCCCGGGGAAAATTGCGATTCCGCGGCCGCGTTTTTTTCCGCGTTTTTGCGATTTTTTAAAAGACCGCGTTTTCCGCGATTTTCCCGCGTTTTTTGAACTTTTCTGTTGCACTACACGTACACACAGTGCACTGTTCGGTCAGCAACGTCTCATCGTGGCGGCTTTGTACTCAAATATGACGAGCGCTTACACCAGAGACTTGTAACTGATTGATTTCACTACATACTCACTGAAAATTGCCTCATATCAACTGCAAACTTGCCGCCGCGAGATGATGTCAATAATATTCACCGCATATTTACCGCAAATTCACCGCAAATTATGCCATATTATGCCGCGTTTTTTGCAGCGTTTTTTGCGATTTTTTTCCGCAATTTTCCCCGGGGACAGGCACAGGGCCAGTAGATCACACAGTGCTGGCCACAGAAATCCAACCTCATAAATACAGTAGCGACGCGTTCGAGTTCACAGACCAGAGCGTGTAGTGCTAGGGTTGTGCAGCGCCCGGCAGTGCTAGGGTTGTGCAGCGCCCGGCAGTGCTAGGGTTGTGCAGCGCCCGGCAGTGCTATTTTATTCATGAGGTTGGATGTCTTTGGCCAGCACAGTACCTGGGTTCTAGCCAATGGAGGGGGGGGGGGGGTAGGAGGTGCAGCACCCCCTACCCCCCCCCCCCCCCCTACTCATTTCTCGATGTTTGTGTCTTCTCATGCCATTCAACGAAAATGCAGTCTCTAGTCACTATTAGAGGGGTCACAACGGCACATTTGTGTGGCTGCGGGGGTTTGCCGCAGAACGTTGCATTTGGCATGGCAAGACACTTTTACTTTTTAGAAAATGGAACAATGGGTGACGGGGTAACTGTCCCCCCCTACTATTTTTACCAGGCTAGAACCCTGCTGTATACATGTCACAGTATCTATGCCTATGGCTATGTCTGTGGACAGGACTAGTAGACCCAGGTGCTCGAAGTCCGTACACGTTTACAGTGTGTGTTTGCCGAGCTGAAACTCACACTAGCAATGATCACTTGCCAGAATCCTGCTCGTGGATGGAAGGTATCTTGTCCAAGTTTGTTTTGAGGCTAGGCTCGATTGAACCAGGCCATCTTTCGATCCGATCTGTTTCTCTGGAGTTCGCTCATTTTTCATATCAAATTTTGGTGTCGCAGAGGGTACTCTAAGTCCGTACTGATCAGAGGTGACTCGAAATACACACATATTTCTGCTAATTGCTAACTTGCAATCCCTCGGTTACGACGAAAGCACCGAAGGGATATGTTTGGCATGTGCCTCCACCGGTATTTCTTGCAAAAGCGTAGCTTGTTGCCGAAATGCAAGCTGTTTTTAGTCGGCTCAGAGAAGAAGCAGCTGCGCTGTGAAAACCGCGGGAAAACAGTGGTGGAGATGCCAGGAGTGTCAACCTTTCTGCAAGGATTGGTGGTTCTCTGTAAATTCTTCTCCTCTGGCCATTGTCAGCTCTAAGCTGGCTCTTGATGATTGAGTGAAGGTCTGTTTGACGCTGTGTCCGTTCGAAATCGGTCTTGGCAAAGTTGATTTTTGCATGAAATGTAACCCAATTTGTATTTCGTATGGACACTCGAAAACCCACTCCCGTGGTATGGGACTTCTGCTGATCGTAGATCCCTGAAAATTGGTACGCGAGGAGAACATACCACACTGTCCCCTCCATAAAATATTTGAGTCGAATACAATAACAGAACATGAAATTATGGGCGTACGAACTTAGGATACCATGTACGGACTTCGAGCACCTGGGTCTACCTACAGTCAACTTGGCTTATAACGACACTCGGCGGGGCATCAGAAAAGTGTCGTTATTCGCGAAGTGTCGTTATATCCGAAGTCTCATTATAATTAATTTTATGTGTCACAGTTGGATGGGACTTTGCTCCGGGCATGAAAATTATGTCGTTATATCCGCAGTCGTTATTAGCGAAGTACTGCAAAAGGAAGAGCTAGCGATACCGGTCCCATTCGTAAAAATAACCATAAAATCACGGACAGATAGCTAGCGCTAGCCGCTTACAAATTCTTGCGTTTCATCTGGAATTGCTGTTGCCAGTTCAGAACAAGCGACGCATTCACGATCTCTTACCTGGTCCTGTTTCATACTCGAGTTGAGAGTAGTCTGCCCCCATTTCTCCCGGAGTTATCGAGGCACTGCCTTCAAATTCTTATCTGGTTGTTGGTATTCAGAATACAGTGCTCAGCTAGGACAAGGAGGCGACAGTTCTGCGATGTGCTAGTACTAGTTACTTAGCAGGCTCAGCAGCGCTCCGGCCGATGGATAACTCCGGGACCGGGAAGGGTTCTGCGCAAGACGTGGCGGCACGGTGCAAATCCTGGCGAAGGCCGACTGCACTGCACTGACGCTCAGCTTCAGATACTACTACTAGTCTACCGGTACGCGATGTGTGGCCATAAAAATTAATAATAACTTGGTTGAGGAAATGCACACAATACGACTGTGTACATGTCATGTCAGGCTGACCATCTTCAAAAGAGTGCACATCACATAAACCGTATACGAACAGCGAAAACAAACATTTGAAACAACCTACACACTGTACAAAAGCACTGCGTGATGTGCACAGAACAGACTCAGCGCAGGACTGCACTCTCTGCAGTGCAGGTGCAGGTGCAGGTGCATTCATAACTCACAGACTAGACACAGCATGACATGACAGGTGTCGCTAGTTTACTGTGTCTGGATTGTCACTACTAAGTACTATCAAGAGTACATAACCCCCCAGAGTGTGCAACTCCCACATACCCTGTTGTCCCAGACAGAATTTCAAGTTGACGTCATTATTTATGACGCAATGCTCCATGCAGCAGTGATTTACAACATGTGTACGGGTGTCAACGCATCACACGTTTTTCTTTTGCAATAATTTGTACAGGATCGATCGGCTTCGGTCAACCACAGGTTCCGGATTCGTCTGATAATCCGTGTACAGTGCGCATTGCATCATCAAAATGACGTCAACTTGAAATTCTGTCGGGACAGCACCCATAGTGGAGTTGCACACTCTGGGGGGTTATGTACTCTTGGTACTATCGAACATGGATAGGCTGTACAATGTAGTGTAGGCCTATGCAGTAGAACATCTAAGCTACAACAGTTACCATGGTTACTGACTGTAGCGCTAGCCAGGATCATGTCATTCATGAGTCATGAGGTTGTGTTTTGTACGAGGTACGAGCACTCTTTATCTTGGCTCGACTCCTACGTCCTATGCCTAGGCTAGGCTATATCCTGTAGCGCTGTCATTATCCTGTATTGCATCCGGCTATTGCCACTACAAGTGTTGTCTTTTTGTACTAAATTGTAGATCCTCACATAATAAAATGCCTACATCCTACAGTACAGCCGGTTTATTACTATTAGTCCCTGCATGCAACACTGCATCATACAATGTACAATGTACAATGTACATGCTGATACAGTTATTATTAATATTGTACAGTAATGAACATCCGGATATCCAGGGAGTCGTCAAAATGCAAAGCTTGCTACTACCGTAAAGTACCGCCAGAGCGCCCCGTCTCGCGAGAGCGCCCCACCTTGATTTTACAGCCAAGGGAAGAAAATTGTATGGCAGAATGCTACTAAGTTTGTACGGTGTGAGGACCTTCGTGTACTAAGGTCACACTTGGCATGTTTTTTATGTGGAGCTCGCATCTGCTCGAAAGTAAACCGGGTACGGATTGACTGCACAACATGCAAAGTGTGTACAAGGTCCGTGTTGTATGACCTACAGACAGGAAACCACCTCCACAAGACGACCACGAAAGGACGAGATGGTGGGGCGCTCTGGCGGTACTTTACGGTAGTACTACTCTGTACTTCGCCTACTGACGTTACAGGAGAAGTCTACAAACTCCCCTAGCATAATGAGGGTCAGAACCGGGTTCAACACCCATGATATTATGGTTCAGATGGTCCCAACGGTCCGGTCCGTTGGCAACGGACCGGGGCTCTACCAACCGTGGATGGTTGTAGTAAAGTCACTATTTCCGAACACAGTGTCCTCCACCTTGTTTCATGCTGTCAAAAAACTAACAACATACTCAGTTGATAAATATGGTGGTAAAGACACACCTGGCAATGTGGCGGTAAACACACGCCTGCCCACACACGCTCTCTAGGCTGCAAAGTTCTGGCACAGAGCTCTCCTTCTCACCACCACCACCATCAGTTCGCGCCTGGCGCCTGGTCGATGCATGGTTGGCGGTATCCGGCATAGCAGGCTGGTACATCAAGTAGCGCATGGCACATAGAAGATGACACAGCAACGACATAGCTCGATTGCAACGTACGTTTCGTCCCCGCTGGACTCAACATACTCAGTACTTACGCAAACCTTTTTTAGTTTTTAGTTTTTACTTTTAGTTTTTACAGCATTCGTCCCAGTACAGTCTAGTCATGTCTTTGTGGGTTTCATGTCACTTTTCCGGCTTTACATAAGTCGGAAAGTTAGTTTTGGAGCTTACTGTCTTAAAAAAATGTTCCACCCAAGAATCAACATTACCAGATTCCCAGACACGATAATTTACACAGCATAATTATACTTTAATTATAATTATACTTTTCCTGCACAATTCACATTATGGGAATTTGGTATAACCCCACACCCGTCATTGTTGAATATTCGATAATAGCGTGGATTTCCCCAACGATATATTTTCATTTTTTGTTATCCTCTCCCATGCCGTTGTACATAAGCGGCTTGCCGCGGATATGTCAATACTACTACCGTACTTCCGCACATATAAGCGCATGTGCGTATGTCCGGATATAAGCGCACCCCTCAATTATAAGCGCATGTGCTTATATGTGAACACTATTGGTGAAAAGGCGGGAGCGAAATATACCACTAAGTAGTGTGATGACACCATTGTTTAGGACACAGACAAACCTGTATTGCGCATATAAGCGCATGGGCTTCTACCCGAACATGTTTACACAGCCAAAGATCTTTTTTGCAGCAAATTTTCGCTTATGAGCGCATGCGCTTATATGTGGGGAAGTACGGTACTACTACTACTGCACATGTACATGCCACCACTAGGCACTAGTACTCGACACAATAGTTTTTATTACAATCAGCAAAATGTACTAATACTTGTGCAATCCTACATGTAAAAATTAATACAAAAAATGAGTCCCAGCATGCATGCACCCAGCGGACCTGTAATAATAAGTAAAAAGATGCAACACCACAACACCATGTACCAGAGGAATAGTAGTATACTGATTGCAATGAGGAAATACAGTAAAATATCTGTGTTGTGAATAAACCCGTCACAGCCATCACTAGTATTTTTGGTAAAATTGTTACTACTCGCTGATTGTTGATGGAACACAATGCTACACGGACAAGGAAAAGTGCGGCAAAACGGGCGAATGAATGGACACACACGCGCATCTGCAACAACGAACCAGTCATCACGCGCACACCATCACGGTGAACGAGTGCGAGTGCAGATAAGTATTATTTTTTGTAAAGGATAAGAAACAGGATACACGATGACAAAGAGCAGAATGCAACGGTGTCTTGGGAAATTCTAACACGCGCCCAGTAGAGAGACCGCTATGCTTTGCTAACAACAACATGTACAGTGTAGAAACTTAGGAGGACAAAACAGATAATCTGGCAGCATCAGCAGCATACTGACAACGGCCGAGCAGGAATGGAAAAGGTAGCGATCAATTCGAAAAGGAAGCAAAAACAACAACAACAACAACAAAACAATGTAAAGGCACCCGTGCCTCACAAGGTACATAATGTCTGACGACTTGTTTCATTAAAAAAAAAAACGATCCAAGGACGGGGTAGTGTGGGTGGTCGGGGAGAGGGAGGGGTTGTAAGGGATAGTGTGGGTGTTCGGGGGAGAGGGGCGGGTTGTAAGGGATAGTGTGGGTGTACGGGGAGAGGGAGGGGTTAAAGGGGATGGTGTGGGTGACCGGGGAGAGGGGCGGGTTGCAAGGGATGTTTGGGGCGTACGCAACACATGCCAGCATGCCGCTAGTACGCCTAGAGATACAATGTGCAGAAGTACGGAAAATAGTGCGAGCCGAGGAGCGTACAGCACTCCCACACACACACAAAAAGGGAAAGCGCGGGCGAGCAGGACGGCTTGCTACATAAAAGAGAAAACAAGTAAAAACAAGTAAAAACAACCCGCTGTAAAAACAAAGAGCAGCTTTTGCACAACTCCCAGCGGCATACAGCAGAACGGTATAGATAGCGCATGACACAAGCAATGCAAGCATACAAATAAACGCTATACAAATTGGAGGGCTGATAGCTATTTTTCTAGTTTTCCCTTGAAAACTAGCATGGATATCCAAGGAAAGGGATAGCGAAATTATTCATGACGATCCCACCACATATGCAGAGCTCTAAAAGACCTAAAACGGACTGGTTGTGCATATATAGGACTAGCACGCCTACTACAAATAAGGCAATATCCAAGCATGAAACAGAGTCAAATAGGTGTAAATAGTGCAAGGTCGAAAGAGAGAGAGAGAGAGAGAGAGAGAGAGAGTGTGTGTGTGTGTGTGTGTGTGTGTGTGTGTGTTTGTGTGTGTGCGTGCATGCGTGTGTGTGTGTGTCAAAAAAGACAAGGTGCACCCCAAGCCGGCGGCGAAGCTGAAAGACAGGAACGTGCGTCCCAGAGTGCATGCAAACACACGATCACTGACTGCACACCACAAGCTCAACGTCAGCAGACGCTCTGGGAGACCACGCAGCTAGTTGCCAGCGTCGATGGTGTCTATGTGTTTCGAGGAAGGCAGCGGGAAAGCATAGCCCAGGACTAGTTTGGATTCACAATCTACCAATCATCGCCGTAACCAGAACCAAACGACGAGTCGGCACTTTCATCGTCGTCGTCGTCGTCTTCATCGTCATCCTCATCCTCACAAGAATCAGAGTTGTCGTCGTCGTCAGAGGTGTTATCGTCATCGTCATCGTCGTCGTCATCGTCGTCATCATCATCGTCGTCGTCATCATCATCATCATCATTTTCCTCATTGTCACCGTATCGGCGGCGATTCCTTCGTCTTCTCCTGCCCGCCTTGGACGCATCGGCCTCGGCAGCTTTGCGTGCCTGTGTGTTCAATACAATGTGTACAACATCACAAGACGCATGCAGGTTTCAGTCGGCTGCAAACTGAATCACATCACATCACCCACTAAAAATATACATGTTACTGACCGAAAGTGGGTCACGTGTTGGCAAAAATGAGACAAAGTGAGTCAGGTGTTGGGGAAACCGTGCGATATTCAGTCATGTGCACTGTGTAAGTGTAGAATCTCCCAATTTCCAGCCAACACGCCGATATTTTGCTCCATTTTGCTAGCAAATTCCCTTTCAAAATTCTTCGATATTTTGCTCGCAGAATTGCTAGCAAAATCGGGCTATGCCTAACCTGGACCTACCCTGTCATGTGACCCTGGACCCACACAGTCATGTGGCCCTGGATTAGGCCTAGTCCAAATTTGCAGGCAATGCTTCCAGCAAAATATCGAAATTTCCCACGAAAAGAAGTTGCTGGCAAATTCCGAGCAAAATATCGAATTTACAGAGGATCTGGGTGTGTTTTGGCAATTTTATTCAAATTTCTTTGGTTTCATTGGGCCAAAAAAAATCACGGTTCGCGTGAGACTCGGCCAAAGGCCCAGTTTTCCGCATCCGCAGGAACGCCACCACCCTCTTGGATCAAGGCGCAGATGCAGCTCCTAAGCGGTGGGAGGTGAGTAGATCAGACCCACCACAAAGTGGTCAAAGACCGAAATCCCATTCACTGCATCCATTCACTGCATTGGGCCAACATTGTGCTGAAATAGCTCGTGTAGGTTGTCAGGGGTACATAAATTTGAAATCATGCTACAAAATCAGTAAATCTAACACCATTATAAGTTTTGCTTTCCTCATCAGAGTCACCATCCACCTTTACCAAAGTAGACGGTTCATTCGAAGCCATTTTTGCCACAAAGCAGGAGCAAAATGGAGCAAAATATCGGAAACGAAGGTCAATGCCGAGCAAAATATGGAAAGTGATCGGGCAAAATATCGAAGCGCCCGAGCAAATTTGGGCTAGGCCTACCCTGGATCCACCCTGTCATGTGACCCTGGACCCACCGTGTCATGTGACCCTGGATCCACCCTGTCATGTGACCCTGGACCCACACATTCATGTGACCCTGGATCCACCCTGTCACGTGACCCTGGACCCACGCATTCATGTGACCCTGGATCCACCCTGTCACGTGACCCTGGACCCATCGTGTCATGTGACCCTGGACCCACCCTGCCATGGGACCCTGAATCGCAGAAAGATGGTTGAGCAGGAACTCCTGATTTTTACGTATCGATCTTGCTTACCTCTGCGGCAGCCGCGAATGCCTTGGCGTACTCAGCCATGAAGATGTTGGTTGCCTTGTTTGGCATGTCAATTGCAGCACCGATGAAAGCTACTGTGCAGATGCCCTGAGCAGGAGAATACAAATACCGTAGTGTCGCGTTTTTAAGCCAGGCTTATTCCTGTAGAAACCAATGTCAATGCTAGGCTTCTATTCAAATCAGGTACTAGTATGTATGTGTATATCAACACTAAAACCAGGCTTACGTGCTGCAAGTGCATCTTGAAAATCAGGCTTCTATTCAAAACAGGCTTCTATATGAGATGGCTGTAATACAAGACATTACGGTATAACAAGCACGCTGTTCCCACCCTGGCAGTACTGGTAAGCCAGGAGTGTGGCGTCCAGTCAAACGTAACACTTGTCATGTTATATCTAGCGCTACATGGAGTGGGTGAGAACATGTTAGGTTCCTGCGTGCAAGAATGACATTCGGACAGTCACCCGCACATCTACAGCGGCAGAGGACCAGTGTGTGGGTGACTGTGTG